GCTATCATTTATTAAATTTTAACAATCTTTAACAATATTACTTTTAATTCTATTTATAATATCGAAATAAATGATTAATTAATTATAACTTGTTTTCTGCAATTAATGTAAATGTGTATTCCCTTAATATTCTTCATTAGTATTTATTTCATAACCAATGTCTGCAATAAAAATTTTATCTTCATTATTTGAGTAGATAATAAAATGAGTAGTATTCAACGTAATTAGTATAATTATTGAATAATTAACAGGTACAGAATACTTACGTTATATTAATCTAATATTTAAAACAGACTACATATATTAAATAAATTATAAACATTTTCTAATTTTTAATATGATCCAATGTAATCTATTTCAGTTTAATCTGTTGTTAAATCATAAAAGTAAGTATGTTCCATTAGAAGATGATTTTATAATTAAATTATTTATACTATAATATTTTAAATTCATACTATCTTATTTCACACACTATTTCGTGTAATTTTTTAATAGAAAGAGGCAATTAATCCCTAATTTGGTGTTTATAGTGAAAAATATTAAATTATGATGATTTAAATAAAATTTTGAACTCAATAGGTTTTAAATCTCAAATATAAAATATTTATATAAAGTTCTATGGTGATAAATTTAATTGTGGAATGTATTTAATTGATTATATATTTTTAGAAAAATATTGTTAATGGGAAAGTTAAGAACTATTTTATTATAAAAAAACCAAAAATTTAATTCATAAAGAAACCCTATGTTTTGCTCATTTATATTATTGTTTATAGGTTTGATTGATATAAAAACCTTAATAAAATGTAGAAAATTATTTTATATTTATAGAATAAAAATAATATATTTTTCTCATCAGAATTAAAAAATAAAAAATCAATTCAATTTTACTTAATTAAAATAGTTTCCTTAAAAGAAATAGGTTGATTTAATATATTACTAAATCACAACTTGTTAGTATTCTTGTATTATTTATTTTAATAAATTCTCTACTCTCTCTCCCTTACTATTCAAATACAAACATAAAATGAAAATAGCAGTTGAATAAAGAAATAATAAAAATTATTTAAATCTGATATATTAAAGCTTTGTTAACAGCAATCTTCAGTGTTAGAGAAATTAAAGGTTTTTTTTAGTTTGAATTTTTTAGAAGTCCATTCACAATTAGACTATTGAAAAAATAGTAGAATGCAATAAAATCATTATTCAAATTTTTTTTAATTAATTTTGGTTTTCCTTTTTAAATGCTCATTACTTACGCATAAGCAGAAAAATCGTTTTTAAAGATATTTCAAACAAGAAAAATTTTATGGGTATATACTTTACTATTTTTTATCTTTATTTACAGTATTTTAAAGAAAATATTTGTAGTCAGTTCTCACCCTAATAAAATGATATCACTATAATAAATCACATAATCTTTATAATACATTAATTTTGATATGAAGTAGTCGAATCGAAAGTTCAGAAATATCTAAAACATATATTTTGCAGCAAAAAATACAGATTAAGTGTTTTATAAAGAACATTTTTAATTTAAAATTAAAAAGGGCGAAATTTGACCATTTAAATTAAAAGCAAATACAAAAAATTTTCTCAAAGGAAAGAAGATGTCTGTCTTTATAAAATCATAGAGATTCTAATAAACCTTAATTTAAATATATTATCTTGATTTGATCCATATTTCTCATTTTTTATTGCAATGTAAATTAGTATATAATGTTCATTTTTTTATTTATAATCATTGTTATGAAAAATACCCATCATTCTCTCATTTAAGGTTGATAAGAATAATCATTCAACAAATTTTTGAGGAAATTTCTATAAAAATAAAATGATAATTGCATAAATTCATTATTAAATTAGATATGAAATATTTTTCTTAATCTACATAATTAAATTATTGTAATTTTAAGCATTAATATTATATTTAAGCATTGAATATAGAATAATGGTTCACCTTAATTTTTATTATTTTTAATATATATTAGTTTTGACGTCATCTCATTATTATTATTAATGAATAAAATCATAGCCATCTTGTTTGTAATATGTATTGCAAATGCAAGATAATATACATTATACAAATAATGTGATTCTGCTTGGGCTAATGATTAATTAGGAACAAGTGCAAATACAATATGCAGAGCAGGATGTTTAATTTCATCTATCGCCATGATGTTACATACTTATGGTGTAGTAACAGATGGTACAACTACTCCAAAAACAATGAATACATGGTTAAGAAAGAATGGAGGATATGCTTCTGGTGATCTTTTTGT